CTGTACTATACCCTTAAATCATATATCCTGGCACAATACGAGCCTATCTTCTTCATAAATTAATTCATAAACCTTTAAATGGAAGTTTGGTTCCTCTAGCTGGAACCAATTCATTCTCACTCATTCACCCGGTCTTAAAAACATTCTTCACTACAGGGCAGCGTAGCCAGAATCCCAAACATCGTAAATTCTCCCCATAACTGTTCGTCATCCACTCTTTCCCAAATACCAATTAAGATAAGTTACTACTTTGTTTATATCCTCTTACAATAAGCTGCCAATCACAAAAAAAAAATGGAATACATGGGACTATCCTAAGCTCTTGGGAAAAATCTGTGCATCCATGTGATAATATAAGAGTAACCATCCTCTCCCTCAAGAGTGGCAGATAAGAATCAGCATGGAAACCACATTTGAGGATGACATGTTCATAAAATTTCAGAGAATTTAATACTCGACCATAACACAAAGTCAATCAGTAGGTTAAAACAGAGAACCACATTTTTTACCTGATAACATACTGTACATACACTCACATTCCACCTTTTGGCCACTCAGGAATTCAATATGAATTTTGGGATTTTTTTTTAAGGCATAAGTGAATGTGATTTCTTTTTAAAGATTTATATGAGCTGTTCCACCACCCACGGCTCATAATAGAGTATGATCCATCGAGCAAGACAATCTTACCCAGTAATTATGTAACTATCTTATTTTTTTACCTCTAAATACAAGATGTTCACCAGGTGGCTCTTGTTACTGCACTGGCTAATTCTGGAAACTTAGTCATTAGGTCAATCTCCTCAACAGCTGCCTTAAGCACCATAGGCCGTGCTACCTATAATGCGGGACAATTAAATAACGAGTGGGACTTTTTAAATTTGTAAATATAAAGTATTGATATTTCTGATTTCCTTGAACAGTATTTACAATTTCCTGTGATTTTAGCTGAACAGAGAGAACTGCTGCATATTATATTTGTGTACAGTACCTAAATACAGTAACTATATTCCAATGGTGAAGGGATAACAATAAAATGATGGACTCTCTAGCAGCAGAAGAAATGCTGTTTCTAAGGGAGAAAACGGAGTTGGCAATATTGTATTCCCTATATTCCTTCCTACTAATGTTTGGAAAAGAGGAACACTGTAGCCTGAGACAATATAGAATTCAAAGACCATGCAAAACAAAAAGTCAATGACTAACCTCTGCACGTACAGTAAAATTAAATGAAATAATATGAGTGTACAGGGTATATGACCTGTTTAAAGCACAGGTAAGTTAACCCTTCACTATGGGGACACCACTTTTAATATTTCATTTGGTTAATGCCAGATAATTTTATTCAGCTCAGATGGGAGCCCATACACAAGGGGGTTAGAGATGTGAGTAAGTATGTGGATATTTCTACTTGTTCTCTTAGCCCTTTCTTGTATGTAACTTTCTATTCAAGTCTTACCTCAGTCTTCTTTACTGTTCCCCCCTCGTCCCCCTATGAGATTTCTAATTTCATGAACTACTAATTAACCTAACACAAAATTTGGAGAGAAGCAAAGATAATGAAAATGGAATTATATTAAACTAAAAAAAATATATGTCAGTGTTGGAATCATTTCAGACTGTGAAAATTTAAATTATGCACCAAAATATAGTAAACACCGGGAAGCTCTCCATAAAGAACAAGTATGAGTAATATTCTTAGACTAGTGACCTCCCCAATAAATATAAATACAAAATATGAGCACAATTGCATTATCTATCGTTTAAAAATAAAAAATAAAAATGCAAACAGATAAGAAAGGATAAATTCTAATTCTGACTATGTACTAACTCCATTTTTGAACTCAAAGGAATAATTATTGGTAGCTAATTAGTCACCTATCATTCCAAGGATAATGTTTATAAGTTCAGATGCACTACCTCTCAGTCACACCTAGTTAATACTGTCACAGCGGCTAAAACTTTATAATCATTAAATCTGTATACAGCACTTTGCTATTGGTTCAAAGTGTGTCAAAAAACAGAGTAGAAATTTGTTGATATTAATTTAACAGTATGCATAATCCCTAGCTACATGGAACAACAGGTGATTTTAACCGGGCTTGGGAAACTTTCACTCAGTTGACATTTTTTTAGTACACGAGTCTTTTGATAAACAACATACAGTAGAATGCCACAAGTACGTGTACCCATGGGACTGAAAAAGTGAGAAATATTACAGTTTTGTGAAGTAAAGATTATAGCCTGGGTTCAGATGTTAACAGGGTCTCATTCCCCAACCATCAGGCAGGTACTGTACCACACTTTATATGGTCAGAACATAATCTATTGTCTGAGATAACTTGATACAATGTTTGTACTGTTTTTTCTCATCATATTACTCCAGAGAAAATATACTGTGATACACCTTGAAATATATCAGCCAGTTGTATGTACAGGTAATATGAATTAAATTTTCTATGAGACATCTCCACTGCCATAGTATATACTTGGGATAAGAGCAGTAACTACATAATTCCAGCATCAACTCTCTTTAAACTACAGTACACTATCATTGATGTTTGGTTCTCCCATATGAGCCTTTCACAAGGTCTTTCTTTAGCTCCCATCACTGCACACATTGCTCATAAAATCTAGACTTTTCTTAATATTGTAAACAGTATGTACAGAAGCACCATATTCTTCTAACAGTGGTCTAGTTAACTTTCATTTATCAAGTACAGTGTAATGCTAATTAATCTTGTAATAATAAGTAACCCTCCCTTTTATGTGGGGTAGCACCAGAAATAGTGGAAAACTTGTACTCATTGGCTATAGTACTGTTATACAGCCTTAAATGTGGATTAATATTTCAAGCACAGTGTGACAACATTGAAAGCCACGAACACCTCGCTGGAATCCTGTGATGCAGCTGAGTGAATGGTTCTCATGAGCTCAAGTGAGTTTTATTATTTCTTCAATATTTTTTATTAATTTCTTGTGTTTATCCTCAAATTTTCACATTACAGTTGCTTGAAGAACACAAACTAACACAATCTTTGGAAAGTTTAACACAGGTTGAACCATGAGTGAAGTCGGTGCATAGTAAACAACTCATAAAGCCTTGGTAAATGATCTTGTGGTATTTTACTGTATGTGTGCAGTTTGAAGAAGACAATAGAGATAGAGTCCTGAAAAATTCCATATCCAGTATGCACAAGCTGAAGTCTCCTATGGTAATGGCAGTATATAACTATGAATGAGGGAAATTTTCTTGTTATACTGGTTAATTCAAAACAAAAAAGAACTTTCCCTTTGATCTTAGAAGACAACAATATCGAGTGCAAGCAGACAAAATAGCATATTTCTCACTCACTCACACACACACACTAATTGCCATCCTCGGTAAAAATCACAGAGTTTCACAATATACCGTACACGATTCTGACTCTTACAGCTCTTATTTACTATATTCAGATATACACACAAATTGTTAGTTTCTTAAGGATAGTGTAGTGTTTAACTGTATCTTATCTTTGCTGTTTTGGTAATAATTTGAAATTGACATTCTACTACTAACTGAGATCTAATGATAAGACATCTGAGAACACATACACAAGTGAATTTATGGGAGGATTCAAATTTCAGGAACGACTGACTCCCCTCTCAGGGTTAAAGACATTCCTACAACTTTCACCCTCGCTGTGAATGTCATCAAGCATTCATTCAATAAACTTTTAATAATGGCTGCTGCTAAAGAGTGAATCAAAAAGTATATCATCAAATATTTTTTTCTTTTTACAGAATTATCACAGCCGTTCATTCATTAAACCTGACATATCGACTAATACATCAACAACATCTAATAGGGAGATATATATACTAAAACTCTACAATGCAGATATCACCATCTCACGGCTCATTAAATTATCCAACACGATATAAATTGTTTGTCCAGTTATTCTACTAGGTGACGTCTGTATACAGTACAAAAAAACAACTTTTAATAATAACAACTGTAACAATGGGCGATGCACAAGATAGTAACAACACTCGTCACTTGGGGTTGAGACTAGCATATCGTCATTCTCAAATGGATGTTTGTTTATCCCAGATTATTCAATAAATACATCAACATGCCAGTCTCCAAACTTCTCTTAATTAAGGTTCTTTTTTGTTCAGTTCAATAAAGGAATAATCACCATGAAACAGTCTTCAACAACAGAAAAATGTTTTTTTTGTTTTTTAGAGAAATCTTATACAGTAATTACCAATATATTCTAATTTCCAGCTCATCCTACAGCCTCTTGTCCTCACCTCATTCATCTAAAGTAACGATGGGGAAAATTTTGTATCAGATACTTTCTCACATCAAGAAAATGGAGATATATAACAATAACTTAAGTGGAATAAGTTACCTACCTTGCACCAACAGTTCTCTACGCACGCTCGCTCCAAATAGTATCTTTACTGAGGGGCCCGACGAATTTCAAAATGAACAAAGAGACTCCTGTCGTCACGGTTAGGTTGTCAAAATCCTTTGACTGCTGTCGGTATTGTCTCTCACAAAATCGTAATGACACTTTTTGGAGCGAGCGTACACCCTTTTTGCTAGTTAAGATCTAGAACACGGCCCACGAGCCACAGTGACATGGTACTCAAAAAGTTCCAATGGTTTAACAATGTGAACACAACTGAACAATACTGAAGAGAGCTCGCTCATTATGAAATGTTTAGTTCCCTCTAAAGACTACATTATGTACACAAATTGCATATTGTATAAATAACTTCTTACAGTGAAGCAATCTTGAAACAATTACAACCAAAGCCTTACTGATGTCAAACCTTCACATGTAGACTGTAACTTAGCATACGTCCACAGATGCCATTAATATAAAACCAATAATGGCACAGGACCGTACTCTTATTAATGTTTTATTATTTCTAATAAGTCGTCTTTGAAACAAAAAGAAAATATCAAAGTAACAACACTAACCAAATTAGGAAAAGCAAACCAAAGATTAATTCATTAAAAATGTAAATATTCAAATATGAAACTATACTTGGAGACCTACAAGAACGAACATTTTTACAAGAGAATGTAAAATAAGGAAAATAAAAATTTTAACTGCTGACAAAGAGATTGAGAGAAAATGGACGACCTCTACCAACACACATCACATCAGTACGCCAGGTTGATGGACTGACTAACTTGAAAATGGTTTCATCTGTTCCAGTTGCATTTCAAGGGCAATTCTCTCTTCCATCACCTGAAAAATACAAAGGCTTAAATTTCGTTGTAACTGCAATTAACATTGCACCAAAATATGGAAGTCTATTTGGTAAAAAGAATAAATAAAAGAAAAATATAAATAGTTAAATAAAATAATAATAATAATAATAATAATAATAATAATAAATGCCTGAATATTATGTTTGTGCCATGAAACAAACCTCATGATTTTACCATTGGTTCTTAAGACAGAGGCATCTGTTTGACAAAAAAAATTAATAAAATAACAGTATGCCTGTCTCAAAGGGATTAATTCAATAAAGTTTCACAATGAATTTTGAATGATGCCACATCTTAATATGCAATATGAATACTGTACCGGCATGCCTCTTAGAACACTGTTTCAATATTATACTCATTGTTCTGAAAGAAATTTTTACTAATAAACAAAATAAAAAAAATTATTAAAATACTATAATCACATTGAACAATTAGTGTAAAATGAGGGCAGTGACTGATAGAATTACCACAGGATGGGTCCTAGTACAGTGTCCCAGCGCTTCCCCAATTTATTGGACATCATAGATAATTATGGGACATTGCAAAGATATCATTCACGGACAATCAGAAATATGTAATGGTTGATAGAGTCACACACACAAGGAATTGCATTTAATGGCTAACTGAACAAGTTGCAGCACAATCACACACTTGAGATTTACAAAGATACTGACAGAGAATGATTACCTCAATAAAACTCTGAAACTAGATGATACAATACTGAACTGTATATTGAAATGTTTGTATCTTCTCACCAGGAACATGACATCATTGTACAACTTAAAGTGTTCCTCAAACACAACCTAATACTCTTCTAGATAACACACGTGTTGTTGCTAATTAGCTTCATGATTACCTTGAGTTGCTGTATCACTGGAAGGCTTGATGTTTGCTCTATTAAACCAACTTTTCAGGTTCTTTGTGTTGGAGAACCAGTAATTAGAACTTTACAATGACTTTATAAGCATAATCAGTTTGATCTCTCCCACAGTACAGTCACAACTGAGTGAGTGTCACCAAAGCACTGATGTCAACAAAACCCATAAGGGAACACAACACAGAGAGTTGCCCAATGAGCAATTTCCTTACTAGAGTTAGATAGTCTTCATCTAGTGACATATTTTGGCATTTAGAGGCATAAACTGCACAATTGCCTACAATTTGTGATGCAAACAAATAAAAAAGTAAGAGGAAAGCAGATCTACTGAAGAAACTTATTGTGTTACCAACTGAAATTAGACATGACCACCGAAGGCTACACTAACACGAGTGTAACAGAGCTCCCAGGTATATGGTGCACTCCCACATAACCTCACAGTAACACGAGATGTATTACAGTATTTGAAAATTTTATGTGACAAATGACACAGGACACGTACCTACCAGAATCACAGTGAGAGTAAATTCTGATAATCAATATCACAAGATTATGATATTGAATAAGATGAAGAATGACTCATAATAAGGCTTGTAATAGTGATTGATTCTTTACACATGAAGGATTTTTTATGGGGGGAGGGGAGGGATCAGCTAAGTTGGTGTGTATCAACCTAAACAATACAGGGAAACAAAGAGTGTAAACAGAGTACAGTACTCACCCTGCCTACAGCTCCAGAGAATACCCTCCATCATGTCAGGGATTTCCTGTCTGGCAACACAGTGATGTGTGTAAACCATGGGTGGCGGGGGAGGAAATAAGGGGGGTGGGGGAGGGGGTTAGAGGGCTGTATATACACGGGCTCACCACTTCATATTAAATATTAAAACCTATATGTATTGGCTCATGACTCGAGCTCATAGAGCCCAGTGAAGTCTTAATGATCCCGGGGAAACTTTTATCATAATCTAATGCAGACTTAATACAGTACTCTGCTAATGAGTAAATAGGCTCTGCTCTCCTCTACACCAGCCCATACTATGACTCCACATTACAGGTTTTATCCTGTAAGGTATTTTTCAAAGTCCAACACTTTTCTCCACCTACACAACCATACAGCTTCACCCATCTTTCACTTGTCACATCACAACAGAATAATTAAATAATGAAAATTGAGACAGTTCCTATACATATTAGTCAAGCAAGATATGAATGCAGTTTATGTTGTGGAAAAGAAGAGAAATTACTACTACAGTATGCCCCAACAGTGGGCACAGTACCAAGCAACATACAACATCAAACTGTATATCAATACTGTATATCAACCTGTGTCTTGACTTCAATCTATAACAAATTCTGTGACAATTAAGATTTTCTAGTCATTCCAGATGAAGATGTACTGTACATAGTCATGGACTCCTTAAATGTTCTCTGACTGAGAACATTCCTACCAAGTTTCATCAATACAGAATTTAAAGGAAACAACTTGTGTACTTACAGGATCTAAGTTTACAAACAGACAGACAATGTTGTAAATATTCTTATACAGTATTACAGTCTCATCATTTCACCCCGAGACAAAAACCAGGGCAATATAAATTTTAGATACACCTTGAGCAGCAACAAGATTAATATGCAGTCCATCATGTTTACCTTTGACAGTATTATCCTCCTCCAATTGTCCCATCACAACAAGTACCTCATGTACCTTATTTCTCTAACTAAAACTGCACTACTCTTATCAAATTCTGAAACAACTAGATCAAGGGGCAATGGAATTTCTCCATCTTGTTTACTTCTTACACACTTAATTCAAGTTTTGGATGACCTACCTCTGCTAATTCTTGATTGAGTTCAGAATTTAATCTTGTTAATATTGTGTTCTTCTCTGTTGTTGTCCTAATAGATGCCTGAATCTCTCTTTTGTCCTTTGGTCTAAAGAGGAATAAATAAGACAAGAGTTATTCAATGGATCACAAACCTGCACCCAAGACTCTATGAAAAATAGTTGACAGAAGTAGTGCAACCCTACCATTTATTGTTCTATCTAGAAAAAATAAATTTTTTCTTCTTTCCAACTAAAGTGTTTGTTATTCAGCCACCTTGAGCCTCAAACCATGTCATTACACAGATACAAATATTAAAACAGTAAAACATATAAACAAATCATGATTAATTGTGCACTCCTTAGCATTCATTAAGTGTATGCTCCTGACAGTCTATCTTGGGCAGCCAATAAGCAACAAAACTTCGGTGTTGATATGGGCAAAAGCTATAGATAACAGACATTTGTTGCTACCCAAAATGTGTAAGATAAAAATTTACTGTAATATAAAATAAACGTACCTGGCTCCTGTCGACAAATGTCGTACTCTTTCTTCCTCCTCTCCCCGCTGACCTGAGACTCTCTCAAACGCAGACCCAAGTTCTGTAAAACATTCATCTTCAATAAGTATAAAAAAGTTATTATTTATCATGAACCTCATTGAACTCTCAAACACTGTGATATAATTAATATTTCGAGTGGTTTTTACACATACCTTGGTGTGGCTTGCGATAGACCTCGAAAGCCGAGTTGCGAGCGTGTTCCACAACTGGCCGAGCCTCCAGGGGGTAAATTCCATCCTCACCCTGGCTGGCCTCTATTCCAGCCATGTCCCCATCACTCTTCTGGTATATTAGTTTCTTTGGTGAACTCTGAGGAAGATATATCTCTTTATAATATATAACCAGATGTAGGGAGAGAGAAAATATGCATTTTTTTCCTTAACTCCTACGTGGTGTGGGGCGTAGATTAATGCCCGCTAAGATAAGGGACTCCCAGGTTTAGAGTGTATATCAACGTCTTGAAATTTTTTAAATTTCCACTAACTCTATGAGCCCTAGAACTATAAATAAACATCTTGAGTTGTCTGGAATTCACCCCGGCAGGCAATCACTTGACTAGACCTCGTGCTTCTTGGCAACACGCCAGTACCTTCGTCTGTCCCACTCTGTAAGGATGCTTTCACATTGTACTATCAGTGATGCTGAAATAAACTCTCTCTTTGATGAGGATGCTCCTTGTGATGCTGAGGAGCCATTAGGAATGAACAGTGATTTGAGTGATTCTGATGATGTCAATGACCCTGATTACCCACCAGACAAGTGAGAGAGAGTGATGTTGATGACCCTGACACCATACACCCGACTCCATCACCCACAACGTCGACTCCAAGACCAGGATGAGACTCTACAAGCCACACCGTGTCCTTAACACATCTCCAACATGTGTCTGGTTGACAAGTCTGACAGCACGATCTCTAGTATAGATTGTGGACGTAAGACCATGAAATGGTACAAAAAACTATTCTTCAATCTTTTGGACATATCCCTTCTGAATGCACACATTCTTTATTTCGCGAAGACAGGTAAAAAACCTACACTGTACGAGTTTTCATTGAATGTGGTAAGGCAGCTTTTGGAGACCAATGCAGTACCTCGTCAGAGGCCTGGAGGTCGTCGCACAGCTGGTGGTGAACTCCCTTTGTGACTGACTGCTCAACAATTCCCTACAGTGATTCCTTCCACTGGGGAAAAGCAGTATTCCCATAAAAAATGTTATGTGTGCTGTATGAGTGAAATCCATGTCAAAGTACACAAAGACACTCGCTATCAGTGTACTTAGTCTGACATTGCTCTGTGCCTGATTTCATGCTACCAACAATATCACACCCTTCATACGTACTAAAACACAGGAAAGACTTTGTAAATACAGCAGTGTAAATATATATAATTTCTCATTATTTTAGGGTACCAACACAACATGATTTGGCAGTGGCAGTGTGACAGAATATTGGTGTCAAAACTGTACCGTACAAATTTATGCCCTACCTGATAGCATATGTCATGTGTCAACTCCTAAAACTTGCCTCAGTGAATAATGCCTACATATTTGAGTCCAATAAATAGTAAAATTAGTGGAGAATTATGTATATGTAAGATGTTTTATGTAAGTCATGTCTGAAACTCACCGCAGTATGTTTGCGAGTTGGTGAGTAATTAGCATTGAAAAATGTCATTAAATTTTCCAAGTGTTATTACGACCACTAATTACCCCGCTTAATGCACATCACAGTAAATTGTGCCCTGCCAACCTTACCTGGCCAAGGTCCTGAACCCTCAACAGAATCAAAAGAGCTATCAACTGAACTATGGTGCAGAGTAATAATATATTTGGGATACGTCACATACTTCAGATCAGTGAGATAAGAAAATAATTCATGAATAATGATATGCTTTGTGCGTGAGTGCCAGGATATGTGTGTAAGTGAACCACAGGTGAAAAGCACAAGCTTATCATTAACTTTAAAAGAAAACTTATCAAAATCTTTAGCATTAAAATTATTCAATAAAAACAACAAAACAATCATATCAGAGTAAATATTTAAAGTACAGTGTGGTTATCATATTTATCATACATGTAAATAACAAAAAATCACTAACGTCTGCTAGAATAATGTACAGTCACCACCACTTATACCTGGTACAGTGTCTGGCTGGTGCATTTTGTGAGATGTGGCAACTCTGTGGAATGCTTATCTAGTATCCTTAGTCTGGTTACTATTGCAAGGTTCCTTAGGGCCATTCTGGGAGTTTTAATAGCCATGTAAACAAACACAGATTTGCCACATCTCACAAAACATGCCAGCCACTGTACCAGGTATGAATGCAGGAACATACACAAAGGTTTCCCCCAAAATCTGGTCCTACAAATTAGATGTTAGTATCTGTTGAAATTAAATGCCATGCAATTGTTACTACATGTCGCCTGCTCACACAATGAGGTACCAGTTCTGTATAAAGATGGGCAGTGATAATCAAATGCCAAGTAGTTTTAACTTCTATTGATATACAGTATTGTCAAAAATCTAAGGGACCAGACTCTTAGGACACCCTGTTGTATAAATAGACTAAATAAGATACTTTTGTACACTACTGTAACTTGAAAAAATGTACATAAATCTGTTTACTATTGGGATACTGTTTGATAATACAGTAATTGTTTCTATATGTCAGGAAGCTTTAAAAGAACTACACCTGTTACTACAGTACTATATTTTCTCATTTTAGTAGCAAAGATTTGAGTTATTACCTGCAACAATTAATCTATTATCATTTAAAAAAATATTTTTGTTATACATCCAAAGGATAAAGAAGATTTTAAAGAAATCAAAGTATTTCTCCAGCTACCTTGTGACCTAAAGCTTTACTAGGTATCGAAAAGGTAAAAATTAAAGGTAAGTTCCCCCCAAAAAAAGTTATCGAGGTTTACAGTAACTTGACCAAGAAAATAAATATATGAAAATAAAAATTAACATATGAAAGGTAAAAAAAAAAAATAAATAAATAAAATTTGTTTTCATTACATTCTTAAATCAAGAAACCTAAGAAGGTAACATCAAGTTCAAAAATGGTGTATTGATCCTAAAAATCTCTACAGTGTTAATCCCCAGATGACACTGAAACAACGGCAGCTTGAACTCATCCAGAGCTTAAGATAATACTGTTCCATTACAGTCATAGCCCTTACAGAGGTTACAGAGGTTGTCACTTAGCAGAGAGGTGCCAACTCTTCATGTTACGTATCCTGTGTGCAACGTAAAACTCGCCTGTCATTATCTGTTGGTCCTGTTTAAGGGCTACGGTTGTGATGGGAACATACCTCGGGATTAGTACAAGCCACCACCGTCTAGTAGGAGTCTTAACACTGTACACGTGGCTGCAGGATTATACACGAGTCTCCTAGCATGGAATTAAGCAGTAAACAAGTGAATACGTTTAATGTTAATCAGAACCAACACACTTACATGTCTTCTTATGGTGTCAGTCAAGTTACTATAAACACAATTATTTTTTATATAGCTAAACCTTACTATCTTGTTAAAAACCTTTCCTCTAATAGCTAGTCATATATAAAACAAAAATAACTTTGAAAGGAAACGTAATTCATTCAGGGACTCTCTTGCAAAATCTGTGACCCGAGACATGCAATGTACCATTTCCCAGTTGCAGCAAGAAATTCCAAAAACCTTGAAAAAGCCGTCAATAAGAGTTAGCAACCGTGTCCAGTACTCAGGTGGAAAGAGATGCATACACCTCATTACTTACCCTGATGGGGGGGAGCTCTCTCTGTACAGTACACGTGGTAGTGGGGAGGCAAGGGAAACACCCAGTTATACATACATAGTATACATGTAATATACATAATAAACACTGCAAGACAATTCAAACAAAATAATAACTCGCACATTCTCCACAGGGGAAAAAACATACTAATACATACACAATGTATATAAATTTAACATAATACAGCACACACACACACACACTGCAAAACATAATTCATATGGTACAATGAACAACTCATTTTCAAACATTCTAGATACATGGAGTTAAAGAAAGTATCAAAAGGGTTCTTTAATATCTCGGACACAGAGGACTGTTCTAGTGAAATTTCTGATTTATTTTTCATTTCTTGGTGTGGTTAAATATAACTACTGTATGCAGTATCTTGTACCAAGTGTTATGAGTGCTGGTAATCACTCCAACACTGATATGTACTGGGATGAAAACCAAGAGCCAATGGCCCTGTAATTCTTTAAGGCTGGTACTAAAAAAATGTGATTCAAGCCACAAAATTCTCCATATGCATATTTTGAGTACCAATAGCCTTCATCTCTCACAATTTAAAAATTAATGGATGTGGCCATTTTAAATATTATTTTTCTCTTTTCAACCTATAGAGGATTCATATCAATTTTTTTTCGTATATACCTATTATAATTTTCAGAAAATTAAACTTTGAGAACAGTAACTTTAGTTTTCACATATTTCCCATAAAAAAAATAATAAAACTGTAAAAAATCTTGAAGTGATTTAAGCTACTACAATACAGTAATACATTAGCATGCATATTATACTAAAAGTGGATCTACATCAATGACAAATGCCTTAAGAGCTGTAGTATTCAGTTGGAGCTCCTTAACAAACAAACAAACAAAATTACCATACACTACAATATCTTAACTACACATGAAAGATTAATTAAGAAATGTGACAATGCCCTGAGATCAGATACAGAAAAACCTGCCATACTTACAGCTCCAGGGGAGGCTCGAGGCGGGACTGCTGGGGGAGCTCCTAGGAAGCTGCTCCGATCTGTACACCAATGCAAAAGAGCATTAGAAATAGTAAATAAAATGTATATCAGGTTGAGTGAGGTTTTCAGGCCACGGGGTACACTGAGGACGTACCATCTGACGGAAACTAAGAGACACCCTTATGGATAATAATATACATAAATATTAGTAAGGATACTAAATCTTTTCAGCTGTAAACTGGTATACCTACGTTCTTGTCTTGTTCTATCTATTACGTCTCACTCCTCCACAACACAAATTTCTAGGCCACCCCATTACTGCACAAGTCCCTTTCTTCCTCCATTTTCCCTATCCACTCCCTAATTCCCTCCTTAACCCATTAAAGGAGAAATAAAGGGATCAACAGAACTGTGCCGAGTTCTTACTTGGGAACTAAATAAAGCAATGTTCTCGTTCCACCTCGCACCTTGAACTGAAAAGCATCCTTACAGCCTGTAAACACAGATCCTCACCTCACCTAACCCTTTACATAAAATTTGATATATTGTACAACATTACAAGAAGTCTGTAGAGGAAAAAATCCAAAAAAGCTACATGAATAACTTACTAAATTTATTGAGGTCAAGGGAAGATGAGCGTGTGTGAGTTCTGGCGGGTCGCGGGGGTGGTGGCGGCGGTGGCTCCTTCTTCCCACCAGGTAAAGGAGCACTTGGTATCATAGGCAAACTTGTAGGACCGTACATCCTGCAATAAATATCCCATTCTTGACAACGTCTTTACAATTATGAAAAATAAATAAAATAAATAAAAAAGATATGGAGTATTTTGATAACATGATCAATATTATTATTTCAGTTCGAACAATTTAAACTTACACGAAGGGATAATTAATTTATTTAAAACTATATCTAATCTTCTTTATTTCAAATTAAGTAAAATTCCATAAATTGGTACTAAAGTGCAAAATAAAATAAATCCTATGTAATTCAAATCCAAAAGGGTAAGCCGTGACAACATGAGCACGGCTAAAATGTTCAGTGATCGGAGGAAACATCTCCTGGCTGCTTTGTTTGAAAGTGACAACAGCTGACACATTTACAACTCTTCCTGTTGTGATGTCCTTGCTGGCCTGTGACAAACTGTGATAACTGAAGCACCCTACCAAGATATAGAGTTTAATTAGCTTTCTACTACATAACAAACTATGATATTTGATACTTCTGGTCCTGATGTAATGAAATTTTATGCAAACTGATTTAAAAACAATAAGTTGTCTCATTAAGAAGCCTCACCCATTGTCTTCAGGTGGAGTGCCTACGGATGACTGGGGTGGGGGCGGGAGAACTCCAGACGACGAACCTGTTATAGGGACTGTGTCATTATTTGTTATATCCATCGTAAAAAATACTTATGAAAAACAACACCTGCAAAAAAAGTAGTAAGTAATAAAATGTGAGGACAAGTAGTGACATCAGTTTATCAACTTTTTAAAATAATTCTGAGTTTCCAAGCCAATAAAAATCCTTTACATACCAAAATAGACAAATACATCAAAATTACCTGCAGGTTTTCTTGGAAGAGGTCGTTGAATTGGTTTTATATCTTGTCCTTCCTGAGATTTCTTGGGACTGCCTTGTGTAGTTCCTGACCCAGAGGAAGTTGTGGATTGTCCGGGCTGGAGGTCTGAGGACGTCGTCGAGGAGTTTAATTCGTTCGAGGTTAACGCTGGGTCGGGGCTAAAGGACGCTGGACCATCTACTTCCGTAACTTCTAGTCTTTTTGATTCTGGTGTTAATCTCACTGCTTTTGGGTGAAAGATCTTTGGGTCCTGTGAATGAAAAAATTATCCTGGGTAAAAAACACAAATACATCACTCTATCTACAATGTTGTTCCCAGGTTTAATAAAAAGGCTTGGCTAATGTTAGATCTCTATTAAAAATACAGTCATGTATAATTTTGTAATCTGCCAAATATCCAAATAATAATTTTTTCATTTTAAGTACAGGTCCCCCATACAGGTGGTGTAATTTACTTGTACTGTACTTTACTTCCTAAACATTTCAGTAATCCCGTCATAAGTTCCAACTTCTCAAGAATCTCACCAAGTCTGAGAGAGTATTATTTTAACGTCTCATCCATAATGCCTTCAGGTATAAGGTTTAATGAATTCTCAGGTACGTATATCATTCTTTCTGAGATATGGGTAGGAATGGGACAGGAAATTATATTTATTTCTAAGTACTGTACCTATATTGTGGTACCATCTAGCGATACACAGCGACTCCTTTTTATACCTCACATCTCTGTTAAATATCTCACCCTTTATACAGTGAGTATATAACTCTCACACAATTACCAGTAGTATACAATAAAACACGTGATCTCATAGTGTCAGTTCATGTGTAGGAGCAAATGAATGCTTTATTTTTATTTTTTTGGTAAATGCTATATCAAATTTATTCCTGTTTACTGGCAGACTGGCTACCATTGTTAGGCCTACTATAACTGTTACTAACTACAACACTATGACCATCACTCATAAGACCAAATGTTGAATGTAATGGGCCTTATCTTAGACGATATTAGAGCAACAATTAGTCTAAACCTTTACCATCTAACACAAGGAAATCACATTAAAAACCTGGACAAGATGTGAACTTTCTACTCTTACCCACTCAATACAACACAAGCTGCCAAACTGTACAATTATCAAAATATTTAGTAAGGTTCTATGCGATAATTTGTCAACTTTACCTCTTAATACACCGTACTGAATGAAATGTGAAATCTTAAGACCTCAAACTTCCTCCTTGGACTCCATTCTTCAAAGTACAGTACTGTACCTCCTGATTACAGTGAAAGCTCTATATAACAGACTTCTCTCTATATATATATATAAACCGTGAGATGGGGAGTTTCACACACATAACGGACCCTCGACATAACAGACTTTCATCTCTACACAGTTCGTTAGATGGAGGTTTCACGTCTAATGAACCTCAATATAATGGACTTTTCTCTCCATATAGTCCGTTAAATAGAGGTTTCACTGCACTACCAAATACTTTCCATGAAAAAGAGAAAATTTTTAAAGACCAACATTGAGAAGGGATCATGTACTGTACACTCCATCTTCCTCTCAGCATGGTAAAACATGTTACTGTACTGGATTCAGGCATAAATCAAACAATTTTGACTCACCTGCTCAAGGGCTGATTTTTGAAAGTCGAAATTTACGGGTTTTAAACCAGGAGAAGATAATGTACTGGTGGGAGAATCTACGAACTTTGTCCACTGTAAGAGAAATGATTAAGATTCATTAAGTATTCTCTCCTTCAAAAGTAACACCAAAGTAATACAAACTAAAATAATAATAAAAAAATAACAAGCTGCACAACAACACACATCCTCAAAAAGTGTCCATCAGGTAGGCATTAAATACCTAAAACATAAAAGGTGCATCATTATTACCTCATTATCCTCTACACTTGTGGCTAAATCTGATTAAAACAATCTTTAAACCCCTTGTGTACGGGGTCGCCTCTGTGCTGAATAAAATGGTCGGGCGTTACCTTATTGAGGCGTCCCCGTAGTGAAGGGGTTAAAAGGTTTCTGTGCAGTGAATAGAGAGAAAATTAAGATCAAAACAGACAGATGGAAAGACAGAAAGGTGAAGAGCAACATCCTGTATATCCCCTCCATAGTTTTGTCAGAAGGGGACAAACGATGATTAAATTTCACTAGATAGGGAAGCAGAACTTTTCATTCCATAGCAGCATATTTCATAATCTTATCAATAAACAAGATAGATGCCTTTATTCCCTTATTCCATGCAGATGAGAGACACCAAGTGAGACCCATAAGCAGGATGAGACACACACACACACACGCCAAGCAAGTGAGAGACATCAAGAGACAGAGAAGTGAGACACAACAGATGCAAGAAACAAAGTGTTCTCCATATATTTCATTAGGTAGCCTCACCATACTGTCCCCAGCCATTTAAAGTTAATGAGTCCCCAGTACATTTGCCCACCTAAACTTATCACAATGGCATGACTTGAAATATTGACAGCTTTTTTCCACAGGGTTCAAAATATCCATTATCAATTTTATCATTCACCACAAGAATACCACCACCACCACCACCACCATGACATTTCAGTTTTTGCCATTGAAGAGCCAATTCCTTTTATTACACTTGTTTCATTTAATACATCTAAGACAAATGTGTATTATTGTAATTCTGGCCAATTGATAAAGGAATAAAAAGAAGGAAGTAAGAGGTGCAGACACAAGAAGAAGGCAATGTCAAAGGAACAGTTTGTTTAATGTTATGTTGGGTCATTCAGCAGGGTGCACACTAATCAGCAGAGGCACAGTGACTATGGCAACTATGGCAACAATAAAAAGAAACTCAAGTGGAGAAAGATACCCATGTGAAAAGAATTCCTTTGGTAGTTTAAAAATAACTCACAATAAAAATCCAAATAATAAAATTTAGGTGCAATTACCATCCTGTGTTCCAGTCAGGGTAAGACCTTAACTTGGGTACAGAACTTATGTATAGTAAAGCTCTCACCAAGGCATCCCCACACAATGAACAAAACCAGCGAAGCCAAATTCTAAGCGTCACTTCTCTAAAGGTCTGTACCTCCTTATTTCTAGATGGCGAGAGAGGATCGGGCGTTGCCTTGGAACTGACTTCTGTGTCAGGAACGACCGCAGCACCAGCCACCACTGAAGAGTTGCCGGATGCCCCAGAGTTTCCACCCTCTACCCCGCTGCTGCTACTCTTGCGCTAAGATGGAGACGACATTGAGTTGTATATATTTAATTATGTTTACTATATCATTTCATGCTTTGGTGTTTATATTTCTAAACATTTTCATCATCTAATAATCTACAACTTACCCAAACTTTCTCTTAAAATTTTCAAGGAATGTCACTGAATATAATACTGAATGGTCCTCTATTCTCTACTATGAATCCAATCTCCCTCTGATACCCCCTCACTGTGACCTCCCTGTGATTGCAACATCACCTTAACTGCAGTTGCTAGCATTTATTTATGTTTTGTGGCTTTTAAGATTACTGTATGTTTAATTCATTCAAGAGACCAACTCCTTTTTGCTTTAAACAGACCGAGATTAGGAATAAAAGGCCTAAGGTAAATTAAATCATACCTGTAACACTGGAAAGAGCGATGGTGGTAGAGTTTCAGGAAGTTCTATGTTGTTTCTCCGTAAAACAACAAGATGCATAGCTGTGAAGAATTCCTCTAATGACAGTGCCCCATCTCTTGTTACATCTGCCAGCTGCCTGTAAAACATTTGACTATTGTATACTGATTCTTCACACATTTTTCTTTTCATAATTTCAACCAGTGACCAAAGCAAGGAGACTCTGAGGTATCTTACTTCTATCTCTCATAATTTGACCAGCTGGTACAGTGAGATGTGGCAACTCTGTGTTTGATTACATTGTATTAAAACTCCCAGAATGGCCCAAGGGAACCCCACAATAGTAGACAGACTTAAGGACGCTAGATAATCACTCCACAGAGTTACCACATCTCACAAAATGTGCCAGTCACTATACCAGGTATAAGTGTAGGTGACTGTACATAAGTTCAATAACAATAAATACTTCAACAAAACTTCCTCTCACACAAACAAGAACATAATCCACTTACCATATTTTACTTAACTCATTTACTGGTAGTTTTGACTTTTCAAAAAATTCTTTGGCAGCCGTTCCAGAGAGTAGCGCGGTGAGATCACTCTGCATGGAGCGGAACTGTTCGGTGTAATACTGACGCTGTTCGTCGTTAATCGTCCACACGTCGTAATCTTCCTCCCCTGACGAATGACACTCGGAGGAATCCTCTTCTGTGCCCAGTAACTGTCGGTGCTCGTCATTGACTGTCGGAGAACAACAACATAAAATAACATACAAGAATACTTCACAGCACACTAGAAGGCTAAAAATGTACACAATTGGAGCAAAGAAAAAAGAAGTTATATTTGGGCAATTGAATTTTGAGGCATCTGGGAATATACAGAGTGAGAAAAGATATTGGGGTAATTATTATAAGATAAAGATGGAATAAAGAAAGAGGAATAAAATAGAAAAGGTGGAAAAGAAGGAGAATGAGATGGAAGACAATGAACGATGAAAAAAAAAGAGGAGGATGGTGAGTAAAGAAATATATTATATGTCTACACTTCCATTACGAATCCTCTCTTAGAAAATTCTGACTCCTGACTAACTCCACGTGTCAAGTATGGAACAATAATACTTTAAATAATTCCTGAGAAACTCCTATAAGAGTGGCATGGAATTCTGTGGTAAGACTGAGGGCTACTGCATCAATTCTCAGACAATTATAATCTATTACGATCAGGTGTACATCAATCCACCACCCACAGGGAGTCGTATTGGTCGATGAGAGGCATGCAACCCGATATACAATTACTATCCATATACAGTAATACAAAATTTACTCTACACAGTAAATCAAAAGCCATAAAAGAAGAGTCTAATATTCTACAGGTGATAAATAATGAATGATTGTCTAAGAGTAAAGCTACAACACTGTAGATCTCAATGAATATGGTGGAAACATTTCTATTCTACATGTAGGAAAAAAAAAAGATGTCAAGCTAAATATTCAAAAAGTTCATCCCATACTGTGAAATAAATACATTTTCCAACTGACTTAGGCCATGCCAGTGTGTGTGAGCTTGCCCCCAGGTTTTCTCGTGAACACTGTTGGTGGGAGTAGGGGAATCTGACGCGGGCGACGACACGGACGTAGAGTGCGATACCATCCGTCCCGAAGGATCGCTCATTCTCTCGTCCGCTCCTTCACCATCTTCGCTCTCCATCATGCGGTATCCACCATCAACCATCTGGATGGTGAGAAGTGTACGTTAAAATACCACATACAGTCACGAATGAAAGTCTTGTCACCTCTTTTACTGCTCCCTTGAAGGCGTTACATCACCTACTGATCAATCTAAATAACTTCAATAACATAGAAGGTCATTTGACTTACATATCTGAGCAATTTCTCCATCAAGAGACCCTTTATAACAGAAAGTCAGCTCATCAATAAAGTCGACACCAAAAATAACATTAGTGACTGAAGGAGGGCGTGCCTGCCATTTGTGTCAGTCAGTCAGCACTTCTATTTCTCATCTGTACCCCAGTAAAACCAGCAATTGTGATGAGAGACAGTAATAAACCTGACCTGCGAAGTGTTGCAATCAGAGTCACTCAGCTGGATCAGGTCTGGACTTGAAGTACAGTTCTCTTTTGTGTTGTAAGCCACATTGTTTTCTGCAAATGAAACGAAATCATAATTAAAGTTAGTCCTCTATTTATAAAACATGGCTACAGATTCCATCAATCAATAATAAAAGAGAGGCAGAGTGAAAGTAAACAACTCTCTCCCTCACACTCACCATAATGTGTGTTGTTATTGGTGTGTAATCTTGGCAATGGCAAATCCACACCAAGGAAGAGAGATTCAGTCCTGACCGGTAAGCCTCGTTGTGCAGCAGCGACCAGCTTCAGAGCCACGAACAACTCCCTTCGACCGTACCAGCCCTGGCTAATGCCCCCACACACATGCCCAATCTGAAACGGATTATTAATTGTTTTAATTATCCCCCAAAAAGCATTAACCAGTGTCTAGGAGTGGTGTGGATATTCTATCATTTCTAGAAGCATAAATTACAGTACAGTATCTTTGACACTTGAATTTATGCAGTAAACTGGTAGGTAATAACTGTACAGCAGAGATGAGCAGTGCATGTCATTTGTAGCCACCTTGATTAGCTACTGTCTACACTTTAAGCCTGAAAAAGCATCACTGCATCGAGTCAAATCAGTTGCTGGTCTCTGTACTGTACTGGTATTCTTAAAACATTCGCTGAAACCTTTACTCAGTCTTTTAAATGAACTTTTACTAGAAATGATAACAGCTAAATCAACAGCAACCATAATAATAATAATAATAATAATAATAATAATAATAATAATAATAATAATAATAATAATGTTAGTCCTACGAATCTTGGGTTTTCGTTATCACCGTAAGAAAATAGACCATATTAATACTGACGTAATTTCTCAGAACATGGAGGAAAATCACGCACGCACGCACGCACGCACGCACAGACAGACAGACAGACAGACAGACAGACAGACAGACAGACAGACAGGCAGACGAACCAGACAGACAGACGAACCGAACAGACAGACGGGCAGACAGACAGACAGACAGACAAGACGAACGGAGCAGACAGACAGACAGACAGCGAACGGAGCGAACAGACAGACGAAGACGAACGAACGGAGCAGACGAACAGACGAACAGACGAACAGACAGACGAACAGACGAACGGAACGAACGGAACAGACGAACCGAACGAACCAGACAGACAGACAACGAACCGGTGACGAACCGACGACCGAACGAACAGACGAACAGACGAACGAACAGACGAACCAGCGAACAGACGAACAGACAGACGAACGAACCGAACAGACGAACAGACGAACGGAGCAGACGAACAGACAGACGAACCAGACGAACGAGGCGAGCAGACAGACAGACGAACAGACGGGCAGACGAACGGGCAAGGCGAACGAACCAGACGAGCAGACAGACGAACGAAGACAGACAGACGAGCAAGACGAACAGACGGAGCAGACGGGCAGACGAACGAGCCGGAACAGACAGGCAGACAGACGGGCAGACGGGCAGACAGACGGCGACGAACCGGAGCGAACCCAGACAGACAGACAGACAGACGAACGAACCGAGACGAACCCAGACAGACCAGGCGGGCAGACGAACGGGCAGACGAACAGACAGACAGACAGACAGACAGACGAACAGAACGAACAGACGAACCCAGACGAACAGGCGCGCCACACACACACACACACACACACACACACACACACACACACACACACACACACACACACACACACACACACACACACACACACACACACACACACACACACACACACACACACACACACACACACACACACACACACACACACACACACACACACACACACACACACACACACACACACACACACACACACACACACACACACACACATACACACACACACACACACACACACACACACACACACACACACACACACCAACAGTACAGTGCAAAGATTGACGATCAACCCACAATTGATATACAAAAGTGGCAATTTTAACTCGAAGGAAAAGCACAAAAACACAGCAATACTGAGTGTGGCTGGACCTGACCTAACCTGACCTGACCTAACCTGAAGGATGGAGCACACCTGCATTGCCCCAAGCTACTGTCCTGGCCATGTGGCCACACCCGCCCAACCCGCTCCAGCCCAAACGAGCACGAACTGATTGCTACAAGAACAGCACAGTCCCAACCATTGTAAAAATTATCAACACCTAATTATTATATATCATATTTGTATCACTTATGTTACTTGTACATCATTTGTAAATCAAGAGACCCATTCCCCAATTATATAATTGTATATTTTCAGCCTTCCGGCTGCCATGCTTTTTCAATAAACCGTTAATTATTATTATTATTATTACACCTTATCTATATATACAATGTATCTTTTAGAATTGTTTCCTGTACGGTACTGTAATGGCTTTCGTAATATAATTGGTTGGATGTCCTCTTGGCTGTAACAGTTTAAGTGTCCAATTCGCTGAAATATACAAAACATTATATTTACTGTTTATTAGTATTATTCAACTACACTTAGGACTAGATTTAAACAATGATTCAGCTGTCAACAAACAGCTTTCTTCTACTGGCAGTCCATAATGAAGCGACGTTGATGATAAGTGATAGCATTTGTATTTTTTTCACAGTACGTCTCCACAGCGCCGTGTACTTCCTGGGTAAACGTGAACGGTTAATAATGTGTAGTTTGTAGTTGTCTGATTGATCACTAGAGGGAGGATGCCAATCAGTAAAGAATCTTATTAATGTGACTCTTATGCCAAAATGCATCAAGGGGAGACGAGTTTAACTGTTTCTAATTTGAGACTCGAGCATTCCAAACAAGATTACGCCCTCCTAGTTACAGTCACTAATCACATACAACATGCAACTGCGTCAGGCACTTTTGCATTCCACCTCCACCCAGCCAGTCAGCCAGCCCTGAATGGTGAGGGAGCGAGGGCGGATTGACAAACCCGAGAATGGGTGAGGTACCGTCAAGGCCCACTGGTGACAAGCAGGTGGAGGTGACTGACCTGCGTGGTGGGCGGGTGAGCCAGGTGAGTTAGTTGGGCAGACTAAGGCAGTGTACCCCACACACACACTCCTCACTGTTTTCTGCTTTTCTCCTCCACCACTACTTCAGTATACTTCAAGTTCGCTTGTCTGCCGCACGAAGGTTTACTGTTCCCAAATGTCCAAATAAAACCTGTGAGGTGGTCGAGTATCCAGTCCATGGATCAAGTAGTCACAGGGCGGACCTCCCGCTCTCGTGCGCGTCTTCATCATAACTGAAACCAAAACATGCTGGAGACCTGCGGCGTCGTGTGTTCGGTGGGACGCCACTCCGCTGCTGCCAAATGCACTCCTGCAGCGTGTTATTGTTATGGTGCACCACGCTGGGCAGCTACAGACTTGGCACCACCGCCGCCTCAGGCTGAGGGGAGTCTTTGATAGGTGAGAGAACTACAAAGAATAGAGGCACTGCCACACACTCCCGTTACACACCAACCACTCAGTATATACAACACAGGTGTGTCCAACACTGTTTACCTTAAAACAACTCCAACTGACGGCGACGCAGGTGAGGGGATACAGGAGGAGGAGGAGGAGGTGGGTAGCAACAGTGTAGAGGGGAGGGAGGGCGTGGAGAACCCCGCCCCCAGGCTGCTGCTGGACTGTATCACGGGGCGACGCACGGGGCTCTCACCTTACCTACCCCAACTCCCTCACTCCCTGCATCCCCACCATCACTTCCTCCCTCTCTCATCACCATCACTCCCTCCCTCCCTCATCACCACACACCCTCTCACCCCAACACTCCTAACCTCCCTCCCTACCATCACCATAAACAACATCTATAACCCACACAAAAATAACAACCATAAAATAATAATAACAATAATAATTAATTCTACAAACTACTGAAACTAACATTCAAAACCACCACCACACCATCACCATCACCACCACACCATCACCACTCTACCACCACCATCATCATCACTACCTGGCCACACCATTACATAAACATTGTCATAAACGAGACTCATTTTTGGTGGTGGCGGCGGGAGGCTGGGTCGACCACACACACACACACACACACACACACACACACGCACGCACGCACGCACGCACACACGCACGCACGCACGCACGCACACACGCATACATACACACACACACACACACACACACACACACACACACACACACACACACACATAAATTAACTCACGCTACCAACACTTCCCGTCATTTCTCCACAATTGAATGAGACAAGAGACCTGCCAGGAGTTAGTTTAGGTACCCCGGGCATGGACAGTTCAGAACACCACCCACCCACCTAACCTAATCTAGTGGGAAGTTGCTTTACCACACCTTGTTCCTGTGCAGATGACTAAGATACAATTTACATACAAACCTGTGCCCGCTGGTAATGTTAAGAGGTGTGTTAATTTTGCAGTATATACCCTAGTGGCCCTTATTCCATCATATACCTCTACGGAACACCATGATAGAATCTTTGGTAGTCTAGTCAAGTCGTCTTCATAACTCAATTTCCTCAGCCCGGGGACCAATTTCGTTGCTCGTCTTTCTTTACACTGCCGATTCTACGGATGCCTTTCATCTTGTGAGAGGGAGGAGGGGTACTAAATTCCATGTATGCACTTAACATATGAATAGACTAAAGTCCTCGTTCAACTCTGGTGTTTTCTGTGTCTAAGACTATGTCCTTTTTAGCCAGAGACCAACACACACACACGGACAGGAGTGAGTCAACCCGCTATACCTTGGTTAAATGGACTCCTTACTGCGTTCCGCGTATAAACTGCGTTCCCAAGCAGCCAATCAGGTGGCGGCCCATATAGACGTGGCCACCAATCACATCTGAGAGTTACTTCCTCGGTTTTTGCTTCCACACTTTATTAAATATACTGAATGAATATAATACACACACGTAACTAGGTATTCGAACATACTCTGTACTGTACGGAATATACAGACTACAAAATAATACAACTATACTGTATTTTTTTTTGTATTAGCAAGACTCACTAACATCACTGCTGTATGTTACCAAGTAGAGACATAAGAAGCAACAGTAAAATCTCTATAATTAACTTCCTCGGATGGTGCCCAGTTAAGGTTTTGGCTACCTCTCGTAAGGTTTGGCTACTTCTCGTAAGGTTTGGCTACTTCCCGTAAGGTTTTGGCTACTTCTCGTAAGGTTTTGGCTACTTCCCGTAAGGTTTTGGCTACTTCTCGTAAGGTTTGGCTACTTCCCGTAAGGTTTGGCTACTTCCCGTAAGGTTTTGGCTACTTCCCGTAAGGTTTTGCCTACTTCTCGTATGATTTGGCTACTTCTCGTAA